TGATGGCCCTTGCCTCCTAACTAGTCTCCCCATTTCTGTCCTGGATCTCATTTGATCTCTTCTCCGGGCAGCAGTCAGAGCGATCCTGTTAGAAAGTAAATCTGATTGGCTCTAAACTCCCACGGCTTCCCACCTTCACTCAGAGTGAAGGCCAAAGGTTCTTGCTGTGGTCTGGAAGCCACTGTGTGATCTGGTCCCCCCTCCCCACCCCGGTCTTCCCTGACAACTCTCCCTTTGTATTCTGTGCCAAACACACCCATCATCTTGCTTGCTTTGTCTCTGCTTCAGGGCCTTTGCACTTGTTCTCTCTCTCCCAGACATCTGCACTGGTAGCTAACTTTCTCCAGATCTTTACGAACAATTAGGTCTTGTGTGGTTGTCCTATCTAAATCTCCATTCCTCGCCTTGCCTCATAATTTCTTTTCCTGCTCATTTTTTCCCATCTGATCACTAGCTACCATACTTACTATTTTTATTATTTACTTTATAATTGATAGTATTTATATTATAGATATTTATGTATAAATAAATATATTTTATAATAATTATAAACCCTTATTACTTATGATCTTACTTAGCATTTGTCTCCTGCACCAAACTGTAAGCTTGAGGACAGCAAATCACATCTGTTTGGTTGGCCCCGGTATCTCTAGTATTTTCCTGTTGAAATGGTTGAAGGGGGGCGCCTGGGTGGCTCAGTCGGTTGAGCGTCCGACTTCAGCTCAGGTCATGATCTCACGGTTTGGGAGTTTGAGCTCCGTGTCAGGCTCTGGGCCAACAGCTTGGAGCCTGGAGCCTGCTTCAAGTTCTGTGTCTCCCCCCTCTCTCTGCCCCTCCCTGCTCCTGCTCACACTCTGCCTTCTCTCTCTCTCGAAAATAAATAAACATTAAAAAAAAATTTTTTTTAAAGAAATTGTTGAAGGAATTGTTCAACTAAGGGTGATGATTATATTACTAAGAGTTGTTCACTGATCTTTCATTGGCCACGTCCCACCAGTTCTTCCTGGAAGGACTATCATCTTGGTTTTGCTTACGTGTCTGTGTTTTTACCATCAATTCATCTCTGCAAGTAGGGGAGATCCTAACTGGGATAGCTGTCCTCCCCATCTGTCCAACATACCGTAAACCCTGCCTCTCAGTATATGACCTTCCCTCAGTTCTGTCTTCTTGAAGAAATCTCTCTCAGAGCTTTCTTGGTTTCTATTTTAGGTTTTTGTTTGTTTGTTTGTTTGTTTTTGTGGTGAGAGTACTACTCTATAAGAATTCCATTTTTGAAATTTCCTGAAACTTACTTGAGGCCCAGTGTATGTATATGGTTTATCTTGGTGAATATGCTGGGTCCACTTAAAAAAAAAAGGGGCAGTTCTGCCGTGTTGGGTGTGGTGTTCTGGAAATACCAATTTGATCAATAGTGTGGTTTAGATGTTCTTTACCCAACACTGATTTTTTTTTTCTGTTTATTCTATCAATTCCTGAGAGAGAGGTATTAAATCTCCAACAATAGTTGTGGATTTGTTTCTCCCTTTTAACTTCATGGGATTTAAAACTCTGTAATTATGTAGATACATATGTAGTATCATTATTTTGAGAGGGGGTTGGGGAGTAAGTCTGAGTAGGAGAGGCACAGAGGGGTGGGGGGGAGAGAGAATCCCAAGCAGGCTTTACACTCTGTGCGGAGCCCAGCATGGGGCTCGGTCCCACATTGTGAGATCATGACCTGAGCCGATACCAAGAGATGCTTAACTGATTGAGCCACCCACGTGCCCCAAAGTGTCTCTTTATCTCTTGCAATTCTTGGTCTGGAAGCCTTTGATATTACTATAACTATATATATAACTATATATATATAGTTACTATATATATATATATATATAGTTACTATAACTATATATATAACTATATATATAACTATAACTATTACTATAACTGTCATTCATATACTTTCTTACCCTCACTTCTTAAACGTATTTTATTATATGTTTTGGTTTTTTATAGGCTACCTATTTGTGTCTTTATATTTAAGGTGCCTCTCGTTGGGCTCTATGCTGACAGCACAGAGCCTGCTTGGGATTCTCTCTCTCCCTCTCTCTCTGCCCCTCCCCTGCTTGCACACCTCCCTCTCTCTCTCAAAATAAATTAAAAAAAAAAATTTTTTTTTTTTAAATACCAGGTTATTTCCTCTACTGACTTGCTGTTTCTCTTACTAGTTGATATAGGGCCAATGATAAGTTAGGGCATCCTTAACTTATAAAGTCTCTTTACAGTTTTATATCACTTCATACGTTACAACTGGCACTGAACCCTTCTCATTTTTCACTTCACATCTGACACCACACAAGTGTAGTCACCTTACAACAGGATGATTTCATGTATCTGCTTTCCTTTTTTGTGTCTGCTATTATTGTCCTACTTTTTTATTTCTTACACATTAGAAATCCCACTTTACAGTCCTTATTTATCGTTTTCTGGTCAGTTGTCTTATAAGGAAATTACAAGAAACAAGAATTTTTTTACTGTTTATTTATTTTTGAGAGAGACAGAGATAGAGCGTGAACAGGGAGGGGCAGAGAGAGAGGGAGACGCAGAATCCGAGGCAGGCTCCAGGCTCCGAGCCGTCAGCACAGAGCCTGACGTGGGGCTTGAACCCGTGAACCATGAGATCATGACCTGAGCTGAAGTCAGACGCTTAACGGACTAAGCCACCCTGGCGCCCCTAGGCATTTTTCATTGGATATCTAATGCCATGTGGACTTTTATGAAACTTTAACCTTAATACCTGTTTTCTTTTCTTTTTTTTTTTTTCTTTCTGGAAGCTTTTAGCACTTTCCCCTACCCCATTGTGGAATTCCCACACAGTGTGTTGGGGGGAGGGGTCTGTTTTCTTCCATTGTGTGTTATGTTCAGTGGGCCCTTTGAACTCTCAGAGGGAGTTTTCTTGAAGTCTTTCTTTGATTTCCTCCCCTTGGTTTTACTGTTCTTTTTCTTTTTTTTTCAGTCTTTTTTTTTTTTTTTTTTTTTTTTTAATTTTTTAACGTTTATTTTTGAGCGAGAGACCGAGCATGAGCAGGGGAGGAGCAGAGAGAGAAGGAGACACAGAATCCGAAGCAGGCTCCAGGCTCTGAGTGCTTAGCACAGAGCCCGACACGGGGCTCAAACTCACAAACCATGAGATCATGACCTGAGCCAAAGTCCAATGCTCAACGGACTGAGCCACCAGGCGCCCCACTGTTCTTTTCCTTCTGAAATGCTTACTATCCCGATATTAGACCTCTTAGGCTGCCTCTACAGTTTTTTCCCTCTTACTCTTCTTATTTCTTCTTATTTCTTTGTATTTCTTTATTTTGGAGGGATTTCTTCAACTTTATCTTCCAGCCCTTAGGGTGTATTTTTCATTGATATATTTTTAATAGTCAAAAGCTCTTTTTTTCCCCTGAATACTCCCACAACTTAAAAAAAATAGTATTCTATTATTGTTTTGTGGATCTTTTCCTATCTCTGAAAATACCGATGTTTGTTTTTGATAAACAAAAATTTGCTTCTGCCTAGCTTTTGTTTCGTCCAGGTCACTTTTTTTTTCTGTGTTTGTCCTTTGTCTTTTGTGTCATGCGCTCTCTCTGGGGTATGGGGATGAGTTTCTTGGTCAACTGGATTCCAGATTTGTGTATTGCCAGACTTCATGCCTTTCGCTTCGCTCCCCCCCCCCCCCATCATGCGTAAGCAAGCAGATACCTGATTTCCTTGGAACCTTTCATAGTTGAGTAAATAGGAGGTCTTGGGACAGGAGGGTCTCATTTGGCATGTTGTGGCTGAGTTTGTTAACTCTTAAACTTCTCTCTATGGGGCCGAGGGAAGAGGTGCTCACCTCCATGGTACCAGGGCCTGAAGCCCTGCCCTCAGGAACAGTCTGAGGCCTCTGGGGTTTTTCCCTACCCCGGATGGACTAGGGGGCCTCCCAATACCTTGAGAACTAGATAAAGGGGCCCCCAGAATGCTTGTGCCAGCAAAGGAAAATGGATGGACCCAGAGCTTGGTGGAGACCCAAGGCTCGTGTTCATCTTCAGAGAGCCCCAAGAACCTGTGATCTGTGGAGCAGAGAAGGCAAGTCCTGAGCCCCCAAGAGCCCTGCCATCTGCCTCCTCAGATGCCTGCCTGCAGTCCATCTCTCCCAGTTGCAGAGCTGGTGACCTCCACCCAGAGTGCGCAGCCTCCCAGCCCCGGCACAGTGAAGGTCCAAGGTCTACCCCGGGTTCAGGCCCTCCCCCTGCCCTATCTGGGAATGCCAGACTATTGCTTCTCCAGATACTAGGGAAGCTCCCGCTACACAGGCACCTCTCGTCCATGGCCAGGGTGCAGGAAGGCTTGGCAGTGGGCACTGATGGGTGTTAGTTAAGTGAAAACATGGGCAAGGAAAGACCCCAAGTTCCTTGCCTTTGGCCAAGCTGGGCCAGCAGGTGATAAAGGCCCCGCCAGAGGACTCCATCCACTGCTTCCCCCAGGCCGGCACTGCCACCAGGCATCACCGAGGCAGAAGTAGAGAACCCTAATGCTGGAGGAGTTTTCCACGTGGCTGGGTGTAGTAGTGTGTTTACGGGCCCAGAGAGGGGAAGGCACAGGACACGCACACACACCCAGCATCATAGCATACCAGAACCAGCTCGCCGGACCGTGAGCTGCTGGAGCTCTTCTGGTTCAGTGTCCCAACAGCAGAGAGCCCAGCCTTAGGGGAGCCCTGGGCACTCTAGAGAGCAGAGATGAGGGCTCCCCACTTTCCTTTGCATCCTCCTGCCCCCCTCAAAGCTGGGCCACTGAGTTGTCTTGTAAGGGATCAGGGGTCTTCTCTGTCCACCTTCTAGCCCCTCTTGCATGATTCCCGCCAAGGCATGGGCTGGTGGCCTGCCCAGTGTAACCAGCGCTTTGGGCATGGGTCTGTGGGATTGCCCTCCCTATCCCCCGTGCTTGGCCACACCACCAGGTTCACGGGAGGCCCCCTATTTCTTTAGCTGCAGATCTGGGACACAGCTGGCCAGGAGCGATTCCGCACCATCACCCAGAGCTATTACCGCAGTGCCAACGGGGCCATCCTGGCTTACGACATCACCAAGAGGAGCACCTTTCTGTCTGTGCCTCACTGGATCGAGGACGTGAGGAAGTACGCGGGCTCCAACATTGTGCAGCTGCTGATCGGTGAGCTGAGGGGAACAGGGCCAGGGCCAGTAGGGTTTCTCGGGGCCACGTTTCTGTCTCTCCGTCTTAGTGTCTTTCTCCTTTAAAAAAAAATTGTTTTTAATGTTTATTTTTGAGAGAGAGAGAAACAGAGCACGAACGGGGGAGGGGCAGAAAGAGAGGGAGACACAGAATCCGAAGCAGGCTCCAGGCTCCGAGCTGTCAGCACAGAGCCCGACACGGGGCTCGAACCCACGGACTGTGAGATCATGACCTGAGCTGAAGTTGGACGCTTAACCAACTGAGCCACCCAGGGACCCCTCATCTTTCTCCTTTTTAAACAAAGGGCAGGTGGAGCGTAGAGAGAGGCTGAGCTTGAACGGTGATCTTGCAAATTCTGATCCTGCCAATCACTTACAAAGTCATATTCAAAACTGGAATTGGAGGGAGGGAGAAAGGAGCGAACATTTGCTTTTTACTTCCCGCATATCCCCACCATGGTCAGCCCTGGTTAAACCTTCACGTGTGTCTCTGGATTCAGTTCCCATAACCTTGGCTACTGGCTCCTCCTGGTTTGGCAGGGCTAGAGCCGAAGCTCAGGAAAGTGGAGTAACTTGCCCCAGTTTGCGCACCCTGTGAGCCTATAAATCCGAAACTGGAGTCCTGCCGGTGGTGCCTTGGTGACATGCTGTCCCCCCACACCGCAGAGCAGCGCTTCTCAAACCTTTGCGCTCCGAAGGTTTGTTAAAGCACAGATGCCAGGCGTCGTGTCTGACTCAGGAAGGCTGGGTGGGGCCCGTGAATGTGCATTTCTCACAAGTTCCCAGGTGACGCAGGTGACGTCCATGTTGGCGGCCCAGAGAGCCCACACTGAGAACTACTGTTGCAGAGAGAGGCTCTTACTTCCATTTTCCCTTTTCCTCCTACATAAACTCCCCAGACCTGGGCTCAAGCGCTTTGGACCATTTCTGTGGTCCCCAGGGTCCTCATTCCAACAGTCAGGCAGATTCTTCTTCCTTTTTTTTTCTTTTTTTTTTTTGAGAGAGAGAGAGAGAGAGAGAGAGAGAGTGAGAGAGCACACGCACATGCACACAACCGGGGAGGGGCAGAGGGAGAGAGAGAATCTTAATTTTTTTTAAGTTTATCTACTTATTTATTTATTTAGAGAGAATCTTACATTTTATTTTGAGAGAGAGAGAGAGAGAGCACACCTGCACGCACAAGTGGAGGAGGGGCAGAGAGAAAGGGAGAGAGTGAGAATTGCCAGCAGGCTCCGCACTGTCAGCAAAGAGCCCGATGCGGGGTTTGAACCCACAAACCATGAGATCATGACCTGAGCCGAAGTCAAGAGCTGGACGCTTAACTGACTGAGCCACCCAGGCGCCCCAATTTTGTTCTCGTTTTTTAGAGGCAGATTCTTCTAAGATGAGATTGTACAGATGGGGCTGCACATAGCTCCACCTGGGGAAAGGGCGGTGCTTGGTTCCCTGTCTGGCCTGGGATATGGGAGCGCTCAGTGGAGCTGGGCTCCCCCGCCAGGAATGGGGTTCTCCTTACGCGGCCTGACACTTCCCTTTTATCCAGAACATTCAAAATAAGACATTCTGGGGCTCCTGGGGGGCTCAGTCGGTTAAGCATCCAACTTTGGCTCAGGTCATGATCTCACAGTTCGAGGGTACAAGCCCCGCCTAGGGCTCTGTGCTGATGGCTCAGAGCCTGGAGCCTGCTTGGGAGTCTGTGTCTCCTTCTCTCTCTGCCCTTCCCCCACTCACATTCTGTGTCTCTGTCTCTCCAAAATGAATAAACGTTAAAAAAAATAAAAAATAAAATAAAACATTCTATCATAGAGCATTTTATACAAGTATAAAAATAGAATAGTGCACTGAACCCCACATACCCAGTACCGAGCTTCAGCAATGAGCCATTCACGGCCAGTTTCCTCTCTACCCTCATCCCTTCCCCTCCCTTGTCTTACTTTGGAACAAATCCCAACACCAAACTATTTCATTTATCAATATTCCAGCATAAATCTATAAAAGGTACAAACACTTTAATAAAAAGTACATAACAATACTATTTTCACATCCACAAAATATTGATATTTTCTTATTATTATTATTATTATTTAGTTTATTTATTTTTTGAGAGAGAGAGCAGGGGAGGGGCAGAGAGAGAGAGGGAGAGAGAGAGAGAAGCCCAAAAAGGCTCTGCACTGTCAGCCCAGAGCCCAATGCAGGATTCGAACTCAACGAACCACAAGATCATGACCTGAGCCAAAATCAAGAGTCAGATGCTTAATCGACTGAGCCACCTAGGCACCCCCCCCATATTGATATTTTCTTAATATAATCAAATGGCTGATGAGTGCTCAGATTTATAATTGCTAATAAATATCACATGTACTTGTTTTTCTTCTTTTTGTTGAAATCAGGATCCAAACGAGTTCCACACAGTGAAATTAGTTGCTGTAGCATTTAAGGTTACCGAAGACAGTCTTGATTTTTATAGGTGGTTATCTATTTTTTTTTAATGTTCATTCGTTTTTGAGAGAGAGAGCATGAGTGGGGGAGGAGCAGAGAGAGAGGGAGACACAGAACCTGAAGCAGGCTCCAGGCTCTGAGCTGTCAGCACAGAGCCCGACGCGGAGCTCAAACCCACGGACTGTGAGATCATGACCTGAGCTGAAGTTGGACGTTCAACCAACTGAGCCACCCAGGGGCCCCGCGGTTATCTTTTTTTTGTGTCGTCCCTATAACCACATTACAAAAGTCAACCGCTTAGAGACTTAAAAAAAATTTCTTCTAGAAATTGGGTCAAGGAGCAGTTGACCAGATTATTTAGAACATAATGACACAGCTGACACCTTGTAGGAGCAACCAGAGGTGTGCTCTCAGGTCAGGCGGTAGGCTGTGCTCTTACTATCAGCAAAGGAAAATAATCAAAGTCCCCGTCTTCCAGGCAATGAAAGAATTCCAGATGAGAATAGGAGAGCCTAAATAATAAGCATAACGAAATTGTAGCCAAGGAAACAATTGGCAGTGCGAGACTTCCTTGTTGGCGTCCCGTCGTAGGGAGCGTCTGCCAAGTGCCCGTTGCTTTCAGGTTCACTGTATCATCTGATCCCTCCTGTGCTGAAGGTGGCATCACAGATGGGGAAACCGAGACCCAGGGATGAAGTGACTTCCCCAAGGGTCACGCAGCAGGCGAAAGGGAGCTGAAGTTTCCTGCAGCTCTAAGGTTCTTTTCACCAAAGTTGAGTGCTCCGATGTGTCAGGAAGAAGCCATAAAAGACACCAGCCTCTGGCAAAGATAAAAAAGAGAAACAAAAGGAGGGACTAAAGGCTGGACTAAGAGCCTTAAAATAAAAGGTCTTTTTTCTTCCCCCAAAAAGATGGAGGGCCACACCAGAAGGTATTCGTTGGTGGCTGGCCGAGCGCGGTGGGCGGCTTGACGTGTCTCAGCTTGGCCCCGCCGGGTGGGACAGGGCGGGCTGGCACCCGTGGGCCTCACCAAGCTGCACCTGGCCTTTCCCTACAGGGAACAAGTCGGACCTCGGCGAGCTCCGGGAGGTCCCGCTGGCCGAGGCACAGAGCCTGGCAGAGCACTATGACATCCTGTGTGCCATCGAGACGTCGGCCAAGGACTCGAGCAACGTGGAGGAGGCCTTCGTGAGGGTGGCCACGGAGCTGGTCATGCGGCACGGCGGCCCTCTGCTCAGTGAGAAGGGCACCGACCACATCCAGCTGGATAGCAAGGACGTCGGAGAGAGCTGGGGCTGCGGCTGCTGACCGGGGTGCAGGGCAGGCAGGCAGGGGCCTCCCCACCTCCTCTCTCTGGCCTGCCAGGCCCACCCCTCCAGAGCTGGCCCTCCATGGTGCCAGCGATCCTAGAGCAGCTGGATAAAGCCCTGGAATTCTCCATTCCGTGGCCTGGGTGCTTGATGGGAAAGCTACCCTCGATGAAGGAAGCAGCGGGGTACCTTCTGAGGGAGACCTGTTGGCCTGTGGGGCGTGGGGCCCCACCTGCCAGCCAGTGGCCGTCCCCTCTGTGTTCTTCACAGTCCAGGACTGGCCCAGGCCTGCCGGTGTGGATCCCAGCAGGAGAGGGGCCGGGATGTGCCTCCCTTGCTGCACATGTACTGGGTCTGACCATTTCACACCTTGAGTCTTGCTGCAGCTGAGGCGGCAGGGGTGTGGCTGGTGCCTTGGGTTCTTTCAGGTCACTCCAGGGCCTCTGTACCGAGTGAGAGCAACCCGCCCAGCAGACTCCAGGGAAGCCCCAGCTCCTTCCAGGCCGGGAACTTCCTTCCTTTCTTCACTGCCAGCTCGAAGCTCACAGACAGCTTGGGGCTTGGCCTGCTGCCTTAGCAAGACCTCTCAAGTTTTCTGGTTTTCCGTGTAGCTTCTTGTTTTCGTCGGCACAAGTATGGGGTCATGGCCCACAGCCCAGCGGGGACCGTCTGCTGGCCTGGGGCCCAAAGTGTGGCCACTCAGGTTGCAAAACCAGCTGATTCCTTCAGCACCGACTCTCAGAACTTGGGGGTTGGGGGAATGAGGTGGGAATGTGGACACTTAAGGGAAAAGTAAACGCTTGCATCCCTGAGGCTACGGTCTGAGAGGGACCCTCAGGGCACTTAGTCTTAGCTGTGCAGAAGCCCTTCCTGCCACGTTCAGAGCGACAGCTCCCTAACTGCTTCCAGTCTAGCTTCTGGTTTCTCAAACCAAAAAGGCGATGCCCCGGCAGTCCTGGGTCCGGCTGTTTTATCCTGGGCCTTACCAGCCTCAACGTGTGCAGGGTGCTGAGGTTAGAAGGCGGGTGGGGGCTGGGATCACTGGGGCTGCACTCGGCAGGTAGCTCAGAGGGTCACAGGGATTGAGCTGGGGGAGGTGGGTGATCTCCCCGTACTACCCGGACCCCCCATGTCAGCCCAGTCTAGCCCCTTAGGCCCCCTCAGTGGAGGGCCCCGGGAAATAAACTGCTGTCAGAGCCGTGGCCAAGGTCACATCGTGGAGGTGCAGCCCAGAGCCTTGCGGGGCCCAGGCGGTGCTCCAGCCGACTTCCCTTGCCTTCCACTTCCTGCACTTTGGTCTGCACCGGCCCACCCCTTCTCATAGGCAGGCCTGACCGCAGAGTGAGAAGCCAGACCCACGGCATTCTGTGGGCTTGGGCATGGAAGGCTTCCCTGGCTGAGACCGAGACCAGCAGGGCTGATGACTCCGTTTCAGGCAGGCATGTCTGAGCCCGGTTCTGGAAGGGAAGGATGTTGGCCTGGTTGGGCCAAGAGCTGCTGAGCAGGGTCCTGTGCTGAGGGCAGCCGGCCCACTGGTGGCCGTGGTGGGGTGGGAGCTGGGAGCAAGAAGGCCACTTGGCTTCCTTCCTCAGTGGCCTTGTCCGTGAGATGGGGTGAGTGGGGCCTGGGGCCCAGCTGCTGGCAGGGAGAGCTGGTGTCTGCCAGGCCCCTCCACTGCAGTGCCTGGGCTCTTCCTCCAAAGTAGAAAGTGCCTGTCACTGAGACACATTCAGACCATGGCCTCTAAGGGCTGATCTTGCGGCAGAGCTAAGCTGTCTACCAGGGCCCAAGCTGGAAGAGCGATCTCATGAAGCCTGACCTTCCAGAGGCCTGCTGCTTTGGGGGGCGGTGGCAGGAACGCGGGGGATCTTGGAGCACGGGTCTGGGCCTGCACCCCCATCGTTGACTTGCAGCCACAGTTCCAGCTGAGCATAGGTGCGGGCCCTTGCCGTTTTTACCTGCTGCCCCTCCTCTGCCTCAGGGCTGGGATGGCTTTGGCAAGGTGGGGAGACCTTTCATTTCCTCTCTATGAGCCATCTCCCTCCTCCTCCAGACCCCTGGGATGGAGACCTGAAACTTTGCAAGGGCCTGGCTGAGAGGGGGCAGGGAGCAGCTGGCCCAGCCTGGACCGGGGAGGTTTCCTCACTGGCAGCCTCTTGGCTCACCCAGCAACACCCCCCAACACGATTCTCTTCTCCCTTCAGAGTCCCAAGGTGTCTGAAACGGGCTGATTGGTCTCTGGCCATCCCTCCTTCGGGCACCACAGCCAATAAGGTCTAGCCGGGACCCTCCCTCTCCCCTCCCCACCACAGTGCTGGGATCCCGCCGCCCTACGCCCCCCCCCCCCCCCCGCCCCTGCTCTGGATGGGCCCCAGGATCCCCTGGACATCTCATGGACCTCTTTGGCCCCTGGGCCTCTAGCCTGTGCAGCCCAAGCCGCCCTCGTGCCGCAGTCAGAGTGGCATTTGTAGAAGGTCACAACTGATGCTGCTGCCCCCTCCCCATTCCAGGGTGCCTGGGGCCCTTGGGATATGGCCCATACTCAATCTAGGTGTCCAAGGCCTCCACAGCTGTGCCCTGGCTTCTCCCAGCACCTTGTCCCCCAGGAGCACCCTTTATGCAGGCCGCGCCCTTCCTGCCCTCCCCCACCCCCACTTACCCAGCCTTTTTATCCGTGTCATTCAGAGTCCCACAAATGACCCAGCTGGACACCTCTGAGCACCGGCCCCACCCCAAGCTAGTCCTTTGCCCATAGTACCCTCTGGCGAGATTGAGTTCCTTCTCCCCCTCTTCCTGGGCAGAAGCCATTTCCTGCAGCCTCGAACAGAGACCATTTCCGGGTTTCAGTCACAGGCACGAATGCTAGTGCTCAGGGCCCCACGCTGGTGGGCTGCCTGTAGTGAGGCATCCGGCAGGAGCCTCATTACCTCCTGGGCCTCAGTCTTCTGTCACTTGGGGACCCGGATTTGGGTAAGAGAAAACGGGGAAGTTGTGTGAGACAGAACACAACCCACCTTTGTTTCCTCCTGCAACAGCCCAGGCCTTCTGGGGCTGAAGGGAAACAGCTTTATTTCTCCCTCTGTTTATAAATTATCCAGTAGCAGGAGCCGGTGAGGTCAGAGGCCAGGGTTTAGGAGAGGAGGCAGGGATCAGAGGGCCAGGAAGTGTGCTGGCCGCTACCAGGTCCCCGGGGACAGGGCGGTCTGTGGCCTGGGTGGGGCTAATGGGACGTGGGCTGAAGAAGGAGAAGGCTGGTGTTTTCTATTCCCGGGAGGAGGAGCAGGGCCGCCCAGAGGGTCCCTGTCCTTCCAGAAAAGGGCTTTAAGGACACAGACCCCAGCAGGCAGCCATGGAGCTAGAGGAAGCTCCTAATTCATATTGAATTCAGTTACTCTTCCCCAGGAGGGCTGCCACGGGTGGGGGCCTCAAGGACCTTCTGAGCCCTGCTGGACTGGACTGTTGGGGCTGCAGGGAGGGCCTCAGCATTGCAATAAGGCAATGCCATTTTGCATTTGGGAATTTTTCATGTTACCTATTTATGATACATAAATCTTTATAGCAAATCTATTTTTTAAAACATGGGAAAGTTGCCTTTATGGAAACTTAGCAGAGCCAGAGTCTACACATTCCTAAACCATTAAACAGATTTCTGCAAAGAGTCCATGGCGCCCAAGACTGCTTCTCTCACCTTTGAGCCCAGAGCTGGCCCAGGTGGCCACATCTCTACAGATGGTCCCACCTGCCCAGCTGGTTTCCCCGACTAGTCTCCAGGCCCAGAGTGGACAGGTGGATCTGCACTTCTTACCGCCCATCTGTTGCCTGGAGCCCTGTTAAGACTTCTCTGCCCCAGGCCAATGTGGGATCCTTTGGCAGAGGAGCAGTCAGTGCCCAAGGGGCAGGAAAGAGCTTGGGTTGGGTCCTCACTCGGCCCGGGAGACCATGGGCAAGTCACTGAACGACTTCAGCTGGATTTGAGGGGGGGGGGGGGGCAGGTGGAGGGGTACGGTTGGGCGATGCCCGGGGAAACCAGGCCTCTCCCACACCTACAACCCTGTGGGGGAGGTGTTACCATCCCCGTGCTGTGCAGATAAGCCAGTGGACTCAGTGGTTGGGAGTGTCTTGCCCGAGCCTTGCAGCTGTAACAAGTTAGACCTTGTATTCCAAGTCAGGAGAGGCCCTACAAGGGCCAGGACTGGTCTTGCTCACTGCTGCTATGTTCCCAGGGCAGAGAATGGTTCTGGGCACATAGTAGGTGCTCAGAAAACTGCCGAGTGCCTGAATGGGGCCCCTGCCACCAGGAACCATAGCCCACTGAGACCATCTGGGATCTGTCCCCGGTCATTCTCAGAAGGGGGCCTATGCTGACACAGGGGCCAGATGACGATAGCGTGACTGTGCATGGTGGCCAGGTAGTAACTGTACCCGGTCTGGCAACCCGGCTCTGAGACATGCTGACAACATGGGGGTCAGACCAACCTCCATTCCAATCCCAGGTCCGCTATGACTAGTGTGACCTTAGGCAAGTCATTTCTCCACCCAGCCTCAGCTTCCTCAGACGTGGGACACGAATTCCTGCCCTGCCTGCATCCTGGGAAGCCACCAGGACATCCCAGCTGGGAGGGACTTTGGAAACTGAAGGACAGGAACAGCGACGCCTGTTTCTGACTCTGTCCCAGAGGTTCGAAACCTGTGAATTCCACTAACTGAATGACGGAGGCGGGCCTGGAGCCCTGGGCGTTCCAGAGGGGCCACACCGCAGTCTCTTCTGTGACCTTTTCCAGTGAGAGATACCTGTTGTTTGAATTCCCTGGTGTCCTTGAATGCAGGGCAGCCCCAAGCCCGCATGTGGCCCTTGGAAGAAAAACCCCTAACTGGGTGGTCTGAGCCGGGCCACCACGTGGCCCCCAGAGGCTGTGCTGAGGGCCCTCTCTTGACTCTGCCCGCACCATGGGACTGCCAGACCCTGGGACAACGTCCTGGGCTTGGAAACGGAGAGTGAGGCCAGGGGCCTAGAGGGACTCACTCAAAGTCCCCAGTAAGTTGGCTCCTGAGCCCCTGTCCCAGACCAGGCTGGGGCTGGGTCCTAGGTCCCAGAGCGGAGTCTGGTCCCGGCCACCCCCCCCCCTGGAGGCCCCAAAACCCCAACCCCTACACACATTCAGCCAGGGGCTCAGCTGAGGAGGGACCGCGCCACCTTTCCTTTGGGGAAGCCAGGACGCAGGGTGCCCTCACCCGAGTCACATCCCCTCTCCTCGACCTCTGTCCCTTTCCCCACACGGCCACTCCCCACCCCAGCCAGTCTCTGCCCAGCCTCTGCCTGGCCTGGCTCCTGCCTCCCGTCTCCACACCCCACTCCACACACCTTCCTAAAGCAGGCCACGCACTGACCGACCGGGTCTCCCCCTTGCTTGGTCCTGACACTCACTCCCAGCTACTCCTAGGAGCCCTCCGGAGCGTGGGGAACCCCCTCCCACACACACAGCCACGGAGACGGCGGGGCGCCTGCGCCCCGTCGCGGCCGTCGGTTCCCCCCCCCCCCCCGCCTCCCCAGAAAGAAAAGACCCAGCCCGGATGGCAGGCTGGGCTCCCACTCCAGCCTCCTGGACATCCGTGGTGTGCCTTCACTCGGGCCAGGCCGGAGGTATGGCGAGGATGGCTCTGCCCGCCCACCTCGGCCCTGGACGGAGCCCAGACCGTCCCAGCCCTCCCCCACGTGGGCTGTGTGCTTCGGGACTCTGTCCCCTGCAGCGATTCTGAGCCTCGCGTCCTGCTGCAGCCATCGCCTCAGTACGGTTCCCGGGGAGCCAGCCGCAGACGTGGGGGTTGCCGGTTCAAAGCTGCTTCCTCACCAGCACAGTGATGACGGTGTCCACCAGGGAGCTGGAGACCCCTTGTGCAGGGTTGAGGGGTCATCAGGAGGCACGGACCCGGCGAAGGAGGCCAGGAGACAGAGAGGGTGGTCAGGGGGCTGGTGAGTTAGCTCCCGGCGCTCCCGGCCAACATGCTCCAACCTTCTGTCCAACGTGTGGTCCATGGGCCGCCAGCCCGGCGTCATCCGGGAGCCGGTTAGAAACACGGGATCTCAGCGTCCACAGCAGAACTCCTGAGTCAGAACCTAGATTGCAGTAAGTTCCCCAAGGGATCTGCATGCAAATTACGGTTTGAGGAACCCTGGTCTGCACAGCCTGCCCACCCCACTCATGTGGCCCCTGGGCAGGTCTTCGTGCCTCAGAAGTTTTTAGTTTCTTCCTAAAAAAGAAGAGCCGAAGCTTCTTTCCCGTTTACCCCTGAAGAGTGTTTTCCGTCCTCGGCACGGAGGCAAAGGACATCAGAGGCAAAGGGCTGGTGGCAGGCTCTGATTCTGATGGCCAGATCACCTAACACCCGACACTCTTCCGTCATACTCCAACCCCCTCTGGCAACATTTGAGCTCGTGCCTGATGCGGGTTCTGGGTCTTGTCTGGATCTGTGACCCCTTTAAGCTGTAGACCTTCCAGTTGGAAAACATACGGATTCACAAGAGAATTCACATAGAATTTGAGGCCTTGCCTCAAATGCACATCCAGTGAACAGCAGAGATGAGATGTGAGGCCTGGATGGGGTGCCTTGACCCCCCTGAAATCCTGGGGGGACCCCTTGGGTTTCGTCGGGTGGGACTGTGGCTGCAGTGACAGTGCTGTGTACTCAGGTTTAGATTCGACGAAAGGGACTCAATTCTAAGTGGACAGGTCTGAAAAGAACGGAAAACTTACAAGGATCTATCTCAAGGAACACATCTTTTTCTTTTTTAAGTTTACTTATTTATTTTGAGAGCGAGCGAGAGAGAGTTTGTGCGCATGTAAGCAGGGGAGGGGCAGAGAGAGAGAATCCCAAGAAGGCTCCGTGCTGTCGGCACAGAACCCGATGTGGGACTCGATCTCATGAACCATGAGATCATGACCTGAGCCAAAATCAAGAGTCAGATGCTTAACTGAGCCACCTGGGTGCCCCTCGAGGAATGATTCTTAAAAACAATAAAACCTCTACGCACAGGAATATCCACGATAGCCTTATTCCCATATGAGGGGGATCCAGGAGGTAGCCATCCCTCGCTGCAGAGTATTTTAGACAGTATGTTGGAATGCTGGAAATGTAGGACCATCTCTCAGTGAAGGGCTGGGGAGCTTGGGTCTTCCTTCTGCCTTTCTACACTCTCCAGTCTTCCATAATCAATTTCTACTATCTTTGTAATAGAAAGGCATAATATATATACTTCAGAAGAGTCAGGAAAATGATGTAACGTTCAAAAATATGATGCAATAGTCAGCAAACGATTTAGAGTACCCAAGTAAAGAAGTGTTCTGACTGATGTAAACAAGAAAGTCTGGACATGAAAATGTTAACAGCGATTGTGTTAGAATAGAGCTATGAAGAACTTCCTCCTTTTCTTTCTTTTATAAATCTTTAAAAATGGAACTATCTTATATATATATAAAACGTATTTTATATGTATCCTATTGATACATATTACATATGTGTGTGTAACTATATACCTATATCTAGCTATAGACACAGGTACATATGGGTACATGCTCATATGGGAAATAAGTAATAAATCTGATGAGAGGGGTGCCTGGGTGGCTCAGTCGGTTGAGCATCCGACTTCAGCTCAGGTCATGATCTCCCGGTTCGTGGGTTCAAGCCCCACATTGGGCTCTGTGCTGGCAGCTCAGAGCCTGGAGCTTGCTTGGGATTCTGTGTCTCCCTCTCTCTCTGCCCCTCCCCCGCTCACACTCCATCTCTCTCTCTCTCTCCCTCTCAAAAGTAAAGAAACATTAAATTTTTTTTTAATTATTTTGTTTCATTTCTGAATAAGAGTCACATCACAATTGCACCAGGGGAGCATGGAGCCTCCTGAGGGTTCAGTGGGGCGACGCCACGGCCCCTCCTCAGTGGTCCCAGTGCAGGCCATGGGGGGAGCCTCCTGTCACCTGCTGAGGCAGTGGCAACTCCTCTGTCCACTGTCCATCTTACAGAAGCTTGTGGGCATCACTTTCCTACTGTTGTCTCCTCTATTAACCCATCCTTGGAAACTTACCCTTTTTTTTTTTTTACATTTTTTTTCAATATATGAAATTTATTGTCAAATTGGTTTCCATACAACACCCAGTGCTCATCCCAAAAGGTGCCCTCCTCAATACCCATCACCCACCCTCCCACCCCCCATCAACCCTCAGTTTGTTCTCAGTTTTTAAGAGTCTCTTATGCTTTGGCTCTCTCCCACTCTAAACTCTTTTTTTTTTTTTCCCTTCCCCTCCCCCATGGGTTTCTGTCAAGTTTCTCAGGATCCACATAAAAGTGAACACATATGGTATCTGTCTTTCTCTGTATGGCTTATTTCACTTAGCATCACACTCTCCAGTTCCGTCCACTTAGCTACAAAGGGCCATATTTCATTGTTTCTCATTGCCAAGTAGTACTCCATTGTGTCTATAAACCACAATTTCTTGATCCATTCATCAGTTGATGGACATTTAGGCTCTTTCCACAATTTGGCTATTGTTGAGAGTGCTGCCGTAAACATTGGGGTACAAGTGCCCCTATGCATCAGTACTCCTGTATCCCTTGAACTTACCCTTTTTTTTACAATCATCTGGTAAACTTCCGTGGGGCTTCAGGCAG